GGGCATGTGATGCAATCACAGGCAATAAAATGCCACAAGATGTTTGCTGGGACTGTTCAAACGAGAATTAAGTTGAGGCAGGTCCCAGTGCAGTGGTGTTTACAGCTAATAAATCACAACCAGTTTCAGATTGCCTTGTTTCTTCTCCACTTCCACTGTCTAAAAAAAAGAAAAAAAATTGAAATGTGAAATGAGCCGCTTTAGCCATCTTTGCCACCGCAGGGAGTCAACCTAACGCATACAGAGGCCATTGGACAGAGAGACTGAAACCTTGGGAACAAAAGGCATGTGAAAGGTTAAGAAAACCCCAGCCAAAAGGCATCATTGGAGCCCTACATACAACCATGTCCAAAACCTGTCTGCTGGACTTCTAAATTGTTGAGACAGTTAGTCACTTCCACCTTTTTTTAATTTAAATCTGAACACATTTGAGTTGGTTTATAACACATAAAAAAAGGCTGAATGGACACAATATGAAGCAACAGGTGAACTTTAGGAGCAGACACTGCATCTTGCTCACCTTGTTCACAAGCCAGCAAACCTGTTCTTATCTGAGATTCCAAAATCCACACACTTCTGAAAACCAGAAGTTTTCTTGCAACTCATTTGATGATGAAGCAGACATGAAAAACATAAATATGGGGAATCCTTTTTTTTTTTTTTTTTTGAGACAGAATCTTGCTCCGTCACCAGGCTGGAGTGCAGTGACGCAATCTCTGTTGACGCAACCTCCGCCTCCTGGGTTCAAGAGATTCTCCAGCCTCAGCCTCCCGAGAAGCTGGGACCACAGGTGCATGCCACCACGCCAGCTAATTTTTGTATTTTTAGCAGATACAGGGTTTCATCATGGCCAGGATGGTTTCGATCTCTTGACCTCGTGATCTGCCCGACTCGGCCTCCCAACATGCTGGGATTACAGGCATGAGCCACCGCACCCGACCAAATAGGAGCAATCTTTATCCCACTTAATGTCATGATTCCTGTGTTTTGTTGCTGAACAATTGATGTTTCTGCTTACAGGACGCTGCACAGACCCCATCAAAACTGTCATGCTGCTGGCTGAGCATGGTGGTTCACACCTGGAATCCCTGCACTTTGGGAGACCAAGGCAGGAAGATTGCCTGAGCCCAGGAGTTCAAGACCAGCCTTATCAAAATAGTGAGACCCTGTCTCCGAAAAAAAAGAAATTAACCAGGCATAGCACATGTCTGTGATCCCAGCTACTCGGGAGGCTGAGGTGAAAGGATTACTCAAGCCAAGAAGGTCTAGGCTGCAGTGAGCTGTGTTCAGGCCACTGCACTACAACTTGAGCCACAGAGGGAGATCCTGTTTAAAAAAAAAAAAAGTTTAAAAAGTGTCATGCTATCCAAGGTATATAAACTCTTATCTTTAAAAAATCTCAAAAAATTATAAATCTGAAGCTTCACAGCCTTCAGATAATACGACTGTGTACTTCTAGCCACATTATAAATTGAGTGAATTGATTAAATAATAAGTGCCTAATAACTAAATAGGATGAAACCTGAGTTAGCTAATGACATCATTGTGAACCACAGATGAAGGCATCCATTATACCAAAACCGTATTGAAAGTCAAATTATGCTTTCATGCCAACAGACATACATCAGACCAAACATCAGTTTGATAAATACCAAGGCAAAGTGAAAATTCATACGTTCAGGACAAAAGCAAAAGGAATCAAATGTCTCAAAGAATAGTATCAAGAAAGAGCTTTGAGAACAGATAATCTGGAAAAAGAAGAGAGCCCATTGCCACATCAAGTTATACCACACTCTACTGACACTAAACCTAAAATGTAAAAGAATCACGGGTTCATCGCGGTGGCTCATGCCTGTAATTCCAACACTTTGGGTGGTCAAGGCAGGTGGATCACCTGAGGTCAGAGTTTAAGACCAGCCTGGCCAACATGGTGAAACCCCATCTCTACTAAAGATACAAAAAATTAGCCGGGTGTGATGGCGGGCACCTGTAATCCCAGCTACTCAGGAGGCTAAGACAGGAGAATTGCTTGAACCTGGGAGGCAGAGGTTGCAGTGAGCTGAGATCGTGCCACTACACTCCAGCCTGGGTGACAAAGCCAGACTCCGTCCCCCCCCAAAAAAAAGAAAAAATGATAATGCTGAATGTATGTGCTTAAGACATTAACTAAACCTTGAAATCCATATTCCATGTCCTTGTGGGGTTTATTCTAAGTCCTCCTGAGTTCTCATATTATAAGTATAAAAAATGTTATTTACTTTTTATTTGTATCTGCAGCCAAAAAAACTATCATACTATGTAATATCAAAAAGAGTACTGGAAATTAATTAAACATTAGGGTAATAACTCAAGTGTTATTCAGCATCTAAACCAGTAGCTAGTACATAGTGTGTATTTCATATGTGCTTTATGAATAAATGAAATAAATACTACATTCTGATACATTTGCCGTCTGACAACATGGACAAATTGTCAGCAGGACAACTGACAGAGGGAGAAAAAGACTAAAGAAGAAAAGGCTCTCACGGGTGGTGACTCCATGAACACAGAAAGATCCTTTTGGGTCTTCCATTGCTGTAGAAAAGACGAGTTTAGATCAATGATCTAAACTACAATTTCTTCTAACCCTATAATCACATACATTTTTTGCACGAAAATCTAAAAGGGTACAGATGGAAGTCATGCGACTTACTTAAAACACTGACTAATAGAGTATAGTATCATCCCTAAATTTGGAAAAGACTCTTGAAATTTGAAAGAGAAATGTGCACACACAGAGACATACAAGCACACACACACACACGATAGGTATCTATCACATATATCCATATATACTTATATATAAGAAAAAAATCTCGCATTTGTTATCTTACTATAGCTAAGAAATGGTACAAGCCTGATAATTTGTCCAGCTCAAAATGGCCCACACACTGGTCTGAGAAACATTAATGAAACTTCCAGTGACCAAACCTCTGAGCTCTAAGAGCCCATCCAGCTTTAAGACCCTCTCTCTCTCCAGCTACCTTCAGCACGCTGCCAAATTTTTCTACCTCCATGACATTGCTCCAATCTCTTTTCCATGGAATAGTCCTTAAGAGCCACACCTTACTCCAATCTTCCAATCTTCCTTGCCTATAATTTTTCCTCCAATCTTCCTTGCACATGATTGCTAAATTGATTTTCCTCCAGTCTTCCTTGTGCATAGTTGCTGAATTGATTTTCCTAAGAAAAAGCTTTGATCCCACCACTTTGTTTCAAGACATCCAGTAGTTGCCCATGACCTCCACATTTTCCTGTTTTCTCTCTTGCCTCTCCAGCTGCCCCTTTTCAATGTCCAGTACTGCAGCACTCTCCTCTACCTGTCCTCATATTGTTAGAATTCCTTAAGCTCTGGTCATAGCTCCTCTTCTTATTCTATTCTGTTTCCCTAGGTGACCCCATTACAAGACCTTCATCAACATCTAGATGCAACTGAATCTTATTATATCTTTTTTAAATTACAGTAAAATACACACAAAATTTACCATTTTAAAGTAAACTATTCACCAGCATTGAGTACATTCCCAGTGTTGTGGGACCATCATCAATATCTAATTTCAAAATTTTGTCATCACCCCACATAGAAACCCCATATCCATTAAGCAGTCACTCCCTATTTCCCCCACCCGGTAACCACTAATCTGCTTTCTGTCTCTGTAGAATTGCCTATCCTGGATATTCCAGAATGTAAATGGAATAATACAAGATATAGCCTTTTGTGCCTTGCTTCTTCACTTAGTAGAATGTTTTCAAGGTTCATCATGTCATAGCAGATATCATCACTTTATCCTTTATATGACTGGATAATAATCCATTGCATAGATGTATCATTTTGTTCACTCAACCATCTGTTGATGGACATTTGGGTTGCTTTTACCTTTTTACTATTGTGAATAATGCTGCTACAAATATTAGTGTACAAGTTTTTGCTTGAATACCTGTTTCAAATTATTCAGGGTATGTACCTAGCAGTAGAATTGCTCAGTTACAATGGCATTTCTGTGTTTAACATACCGAGGAACTACCAAAATTGTTCTCCACAGTGGCTGCACCATTGTACATTCCCACAGGCAATATATGAAGTTTCCAATTTCTTCACATTCTTGCCAACACTTGTTATTTTCTGCTTTTTAAATTATGGCCATCCCAGTTGTTTGAATTGGTATCCGTGGTTTTGATTTGCACTGCCTTAATGACTTAATAATGGTGAGCATCTTTTCATATGTTTGTTAACCATTTGTACATCTTTTTTGGGAAAAATGTCTTTTTCAATCTTTTGCCCATTTTTAAATTGGATTGGCTTTTTGTTGCTGAGTTGTAAGGGTTCTTTATACATTCTGGATACTAGGCCCTTATTATATATATTATTTGAAAATATCTTCTCCCATTCTATGGGCTACCTTTTCACTCTCTTGATAGTGTCTTAATATACATGATTTTAACTTTGACAAAGTTCAAATTATCATTTTGTTGTTGTTGTTGTTCCTTGTGTATTTGGTGTCATATATAAGAAACCACTGCCAAATCCAAAGTCATGAAGATTTGCCCCTATGTTTTCCTTCCAGCATTTTAAAATTACAGGTTCTAAATTTAGGTCTTTTGAATTTTCATTTTGAGTTCACTTTTGCATATGATATGAGGTAAGAGTTCAATTACATTATTTGCATTTTAATATCCACTTGTCCCAAAACCATGTGTTAAAGAGACTGTTCTTTCCCCCATCGAATGGTCTTGGCACCCTTGTCGCAAGTGAGTTTACCATTGATGTGTGGGAAATGTCACTTTCTATCACACAGACTTCTCCTGTGAGCTTACAGCCCACATGTGTACAGCAAGCCATTCGACCTTCACCACCAAAACCCTCCCCTCATCTCCAAACTTTTCAGACATGTCCGTACCTCATTGTTCTTTCTGAGAAAGACCCTTCATCTAGTTTTGGAAGCTAGAAACATTCCACTCACCTCTATAGTCCATAGCCAATTCCAGTCAACCTCATCTCCATAAATGATCTTGAATCTGTCCAGTTATCTCAAGCTCCTCTGCCATTCATAGATCAAGTTACTGTAGTTTACCCCCTTGTTCCATTAACATGATCTCCGAAGTAGAGTCATCTCTCTGGGTCCATTCTGGTGCTCTTTTAATCTATTCTCCAGAGACCCTTTTTTAAAAAATATAAATAAAAAGATAAACTGTTTCTCTCGGTCTGTCTCTCTTCTCTTTCTCTCTCTCTCTCTCTCTCTCTCTCCCCCCGCCATCCTTTCCCCAAGTCTACCTTGCTTAAACTTCTTCAATGTCCTTCCATTACTGTAGGATAAAGAACAAAATGTCAGTAACAGTGTGAAAGGCTCCACAAGACCTGATTCTGACCTTCGTCTTTAGCCTGATCATATACCATTCTTTACACTTCAACTTGGTAATTCCTCCTCAGCCTTCAAGTATTACCTCAAATATTACTTATCCAGGTGACCACTGCTAGACCAGGGCCCCTTGCTAATCATTACTACAGCTTATGGAACATTTTCTTTACAGAGCTTTTCACAATTTGAAATTATGCATTAGTGGATTCTTTGCTTTATATCTGTTCCCCTCTGGATTCAGATCTTCGTAAAGTCCACATTTTCTAGCCTGACAAATTCAAGTGCCTTCATGATCTAACCTTTCTAGTCTCATTCACAACTATTCTCCTTCTCATTCTCATCCTCAAATTTTGATAAAATCCTTTAAAATTCTGTCACTGCATTCTATTCACGTTGTTGCTTACCTGTTTCCTCTCTCATTTTTCCTATAATTATTTTGTTATCACTCCAGTACATTCTCATTCTTCACTCATTTAAATTTAATTTATGGAGTATCTACTCTGTACCAAGTCCTGTGCTGGCAACACAGGATTGGAGATAAGGAACAGAGTACACTTTGATTCTTGATACAAAGGAAGCGGGGAATCAGGCCTACAAACAAACAGCTTCAACCTCAGAGAAAAGCTGATATGAAAATGACTTCTGCAGATGATTATGAAAACAGAGATGGTAATAGCTATCTCTGCCTGAGAACGTCAGCAAAGTTCCAATACAGAACGTGTCATTTTCGCTAGGCCTTGAAAAATGAGTAAGAATGGGAAAGGGAAGATGTTCACGCAAAAGCACTCAGGCAATAGGAAGTCATGATGTAAACCTGATGTGTTTGGGGAACCGCAAATGGTCCAAAGTGTCTGGTACAAAGAGCCTGGGCAGAGGCAGCAGGCCCAAACAAAATGCCCACGGCATCGTCCCTGGACATGACTGATAGGTTCGTCCCCAACCAACTATTCTCTTCCCTCACGCTAAAAGGAAATGTGTAATTTTGTAATCAAATGTTAATGCATTGTAAGATAAAACAAGAGAAGTGTCTTGTAAAATAAAACTCTGGATGGATGTATCCTAGGACAGCCCCTCTGAATCCTGCTCCCTGGTGTTCATGCTCTCCCTTGATTTTGGGTGGAACCTGTGACTTGACTTGCTCCTAGCCAAAACAGTATGACAAAGGTGTAGGAATATTGCAGATGTCAATAAAACCAACTGATATTATAAATCAGCTGTGTTTGACTTATTATAAGGGAGATTATCCTGGATGTAGGGGTTGATTTACTCAGGTGTAAGTCTTCAAAAGAGGAACTGGACCCTCCCAAAACCAAGAAACTCTCCTTACAAGGTTGATAACGTAGCCAGCCATATCTTAGAAGCAAAAATGTCAAAAACTTCAGCCAGCCTCCAGCTGACAGCGGCAAAAATCCAGGACCGGCAGTCAAGCAACCACAAGGGAATTAATTCTGCTAGCAACCTGAATGACCTTAGAAATTAGTTTCTCCCCAGTCAAGCATCCAGATGCAAATGCAGCCCTGGCCAACACCTTAATTGTGGCCCTGTGAGACCCTTGGTAGATCGTTGAGCCATCCTAGACTCTTGATCTAGAGAAATTGTGTGATAATCTATGTGAGTTGTTTGAAGCTTCTAAGTTTTGCTTGATTCATTTTGCAAAAATAAAACATGAATATAGACTTTCAGTTAGATAAGGTGTTTTTATTGTTGTTGCTGTCATGTGTTTTTTACAGTTTGCCAAAATGGCTTAAATAACTAACCCTTTAGCTATTTAACTGACAGAATACACTAGTTAGAACAAAATTTAAATGTGTTTCTAGCCAACCCTCAGATAATACAAAGTGACAATATAATACTTCACCTTGATGTGCTTTACTTTACAGTAGGATGTGTAACTTTTGGTTACTGCTGCTCAGACTCATTCTTAGCAGTTTTTTTTCTTTATGTTGTTGGATTTTAATGAACCAGTTGCTCTCAGATAAAGAAAGAAACAAATCAGAAACAAAGAAGCTTTAGGGATCAAAACACAGTCATAACAAAACAAATAGGAGAGCACATTTACTGTACAACACACAACGGGACATAGTCAACAGCCTGTTTTTATCACAGCGTGGTCCTTGCCTTTGCAATTTGAGTCAGTATCTTCCCATATGAATAATGTTATAATAGGGAGTTGATGACCCAGTATCAAAGAAATCATTGCAATGACTGGTATGATCAATTTATATATATTAAGAGCAAAGAAGGGACTCAGAACCTCTAGGACAATTTAAATGAAAATATTATGTTTCAGGTTATATTGCTCATCTTGATTACAAAATAAATTCACAAGTAGATAATAACCACATATGTTTATGCATGTTTATTTTTTAATTATTTATTTATTTATTTATTATTTTTTCTTTAGACGGAGTTTCGCTCTTGTTACCCGGGCTGGAGTGCAATGGCGCGATCTTGGCTCACTGCAACCTCCGCCTCCTGAGTTCAGGCAATTCTCCTGCCTCAGCCTCCTGAGTAGCTGGGATTACAGGCACACGCCACCATGCTCAGCTCATCTTTTGTATTTTTAGTAGAGACGGGGTTTCACCATGTTGACCAGGATGGTCTCAATCTCTTGACCTCATGATCCACCCGCCTCAGCCTCCCAAAGTGCTGGGATTATAGGCTTGAGCCACCGTGCCTGGCCTGTATGTTTATTTTATAACATCATAAGTTTGTAACATTCCTTATAACTTTATAGCATCCTTTTCAGCTTTTATAATATTATAACATTCTTTTCAATTAATACTCTAGACTTGATAAACATTTATTGTTTAAAATAATTTTCTTAAGAAGCTAATACTCCCTGTACAAAAACTTGACAAGGGTAATTTGAAATCTAGATTGCTTATGAAAAATAGCATTGGAACTCTGAAATAAAATACCAGAGAAAAAGATGCAGCAGTAGACTAATCCTCTCCAACTAAGTTATAATTTAACCCCCAAACTAAAAGATGAGTCAGTAGTCAAAAGTAAATCATAACAACTCACACCTATAGGTTCGTGAAGAAGAGGACAGTTCAACAGATTTTGGAAGCTGTTATTCCTGTACATAGTTTTAATGCTTGTAACTCTGAAAACTAGAGCTAGTGGGAAAATTATTAAGCATAAAAGTGACTTCTCAAACCAGTGGACCACCTGATGTTTAACAGGTAGTTTCTAGATGCATTTCAGTTTATTTGCTATATTTATCCACTATATTTAATCAAGGTCTGTTTATTTTACCTTCTAAACATTGACTCCATTCTTTTGCTGGTTCAGGCCCATTTCTTACCTGGACTATCGAACGGTCTCCTAAATGATTTAATTCCTTTCAAATTCCTTTTCCTCACTGTGGTCAGAATTATCTTTCTAAATTTGATCATGGTACAACCTGCTTAAAACCTGAGATTGGTTCCTGTTTGTCCTCAGAAAGGAATCCTAGTGCCTTGGCCTGCACCAAAGGCTGCTGATGATCTGACGAGGTTCGTCTCTGCAACCTATATCCTGCCCTTCTGGCTCTTGCAGATCCTGTGTGTAATATCTCCAACCTCCTCTCTGGAAACAGCAGCCTGCCTCCTCTCCCTCTTCACCAGGTCTGTTTCTACTCATCTCTAATTCTCGGCTCAGGTCTTTTACCTTCTATTTTACCTCCTATCACCTCTATAAAGCCTTCTCAGGTATCACTCTGCCTTTTCAGGTTGCATCTAATATCTCTCTCTGCTGCCTCCATGACACCCTGTGTGTATATTCATTCCTTGCTCCTAGAACATTTTTATTTTATTTCTATATCTGCCTTCTCTATTCAATGGGCATCATTTTCAGTATGATTCTCAGTGTTTAGCACATAGGCAGTGACTACAGTTCACTAAAAGAATGAAGGAATGATGAAAAATGAAGGTGAGGGAGCATAAAACAGAGCCATGTCAGTTTAAACACGTCTACTGAAGCATAGGTGAAATAAAATCTGCTGCAGGCATTGCCCACACTGAGGGGAAATGCTTTTGACTATTACCTACCACTAATCTTGAGAGAAACTTCAACAAAGCTAACCTTACAAGTCTCAGATATAGTACTCACCTACCAAAATCATTTTATACCCATACTCAGAGGATATGCTATTCTCCCTTCAAACTTAAAAAGCCAAGCCTCATATACAAAATGAGTGTCAGCTACATTTACCTAACAAAGCTGAAGATAGCAGCTCTATTTAAGAACCATCATTCTCAGCAAACTGACACAAGAACAGAGAGTCAAACACCGTATGTTCTCACTCATAGGTGGGTGTTGAACAACGAGAACACATAGACTCAGAGAGAGGAACATCACACACTGGAGGCAGTTGGGGGGGCATAAGGAAGAGACAGTTGGGAGTGGGGAGGGTGGGGAGGGTGGGGAGGGATAACATGGGGAGAAATGCCACATATAGTATGCACCTAAAGTAAAATAAATAAATTTTTTAAAAAAAGAATAAAAGCATAATGCTAAAAAAAGAAAAGAATCCCCATATCTTTTAACAAGAAGAGTGAGGCTGAAGATAGCTGCTCTCCTCATGCTGTAATGTACAAGCCAATGTGCCTCTGCTTCTGCTTAGCAGATGAAGTCTAAACTTACCCATGTCATACAAAACTCGTTCTGATCTGCTCACACCTATATCCCCCGTCTTCTTTTTCACAGGGTCCTTTGAGTGGTCCATGTTCCAGCAATTTTCTACTGTTACATTTAGACAACTTCGTTCTTTGTCAACTTTGTAAAACAGAGTTCAATCACTACAGCAATATTTAGACATTCTGATACTCTTCAGTCTCATTTTGGCAGATAAAGATTTAGTGTGATGATCATTTTTAAAATGAGAAATAAAATGTTTTCTCATTTTACTACTATTCAAAAAATAGAGTAGGTGTCTTTTGACATAAGATGTGCTTCAAATCAATTTTGAAAAGTTCAATTTGTGTGAATGCAAAGTGAAGCATAATTGATTTTTGACACTTTAATTTTAAGTGTGCTGGTTGTCAGATTTCACTTGAATAGGACCCACAATATCTACATATCAAGGGCATGTCAACTATCTTCAAATATTGTTGTCATTTTTCTATGTTCATAATTTATTCTATTACTATAAATGCTATTATTTGATGTGTAAAGGAAGGATTGTGATTAATCAAATTTCCAGCTTATTAGGAATACTATATATACCACATACAAATCAACAATTTATCATCTTTACGTGTGTTCAACATTATCCAATAATTGATAAAATTAGATCTATATGAGATAATATTGCACTTTAGCAGAGGTCAAAGCATCACACTAGACATTGTACATATAGAGAGAATTCAGAGACAGCCTCTGCCCAGTGAGACAAATCATCCTGATTCTGTAAGAACTATCATAAGGGTAGAAAATAAATTTTGGGTGCAAAGAAGAGAGCATGATTGCCTTTAGGTCAAGGAAAAATGCCACATAAGAGGTGACATGTAAGAAGTGTCCTGAATGATTTGTAGTTTTCCAGGCAGAGAAAATAGTGAAGGTGATGGCTCAGGGGTACGAACAAGCATGTCATTCTCTGGGACCTGAGACTGGGATATGAGTGCAGGGCATATGGAATAGCAAGAGATACATTTTCAAGGAAGGATCAGGCTCTTTCTTGTGGACAAGTTCGTTTGCATTTGAAGAAGACAACTCTAGTAGAGTGTACACAACAGACAAGAAGAAAAAGGGGAAAATAGAAAATCTAGTTAAGAGGCTCTTGGAAAAATCTCAATAAAGTAGGATGAAGCTCTAAACCACAACAGCTGGGATAGAGATGAGTCAAGAAGTTTACCTATTTCTGCATAATAAAAAGGCAACAAACAAATCTCAGTGGCATATAATGGTGTGTTTATTCTTAGCTGAACTGCACTGGCTGGGTATGGCTTAGTACCTTGGCTGAGACTTCTCTACTTCACATGTTTCTCATCTTGTTTGTGAAACCAGCAGCTAGCCAAGGGAGCTTTGTGTGTATGTGTGTGATCTTTTAATGTTCCTGTCAGAAGTACAAGAGAGCAGGTGAAACATACAAGACCGCTTCAAATCTAGACTTGGAACTGTCACACCACCGTTTTTCCTTTACTGGCCAAAGAAAGCCGCGTGATCAAATGCAAAGTCACAGAGTGGAGAAAATATATTCCACCTCTTTAGTGGTAGAAACTATAAAGTCAAATGGCAAAGGACAGGAATATAGTAGGAATGAAAGATTGGAGATAATAATGCAACATAACACAGTCTGTCCCGTAGGCAATGACTATTCATGTTCCTCCCAAATGCAATATATGCCCACTCCCATCCATCAATTCTCAAAAGTCACACCTAATCACAGCATTAGGCTCAAAGTTTAGAATCTTCTAAACTATAATCTACATTAGGTCCAGAGGTCTGTCATTTTAAGGAGAATGATTGCTCTTTGTTAAGAGAACAATGAACAAATAATGAGCTACCTATTTGCCCCCCTACACACACACCCTACTACAATGGTAAAGTGAGGACAGGATAACTACAATAAACTCCTATTTAAGAAGGAGGTTCAAAGCAGTCTTTGGCCCACAGCAGTTCTGAAATCTCACTGGAAAAGTGTTGAATGGAAGTTTTTCTTGGTGGGGTCTGTGTTCTGCTTCCCGGGAGTACATGCCCATTGTTCTCCATTGCTTTTAAAGAGCTTTCACAATCTCAGGCAATTCTCAGCAGCATGAGAATGGACTCATACAAGCCACAAAACAATGGAATAATACTTTTCAAAGTAATGAAAATAAATGATCTATAAATCTATATCCAGTGAAATCATTATTTAAAAATTAATATAAAATAAAGACATTTTCAGATAAAAGCAGTGCATTTACCATCAATAACTCTATATTAAAAGCAAAAGAAAAATGTCCTGATGGAGGCTCAGGCATCTATGAAGAAATGACAACCTCCACAAAGGGTAAATGTCTTCAAATCTAAATGAACATGGACTGTGTACAACAAAAATAAGGGGTAGCAGAGTAAAATGTATAGAATTAAAGTACTTGACAATTCTAATATCTAAGTCAGAGACATATAATTAATGCTAAAGTTTTTTAAAGTCCTTGAATTGGCCAGGAAAAGAAATATACCATTTATATTAGACCTTAAAAGTTAGGTACACATCCTCTTCTCTACAGAGTCACCAATGAATAGAGAGATTTATATCTGCACCTAAAAACATTTGTATTTATAAATAATATATATATGTAGTATACAACATATATAAATATAAACTTCTTATACAATCATATATATATAGTGTGTGTATATATATATATTCTCTTAACAGTAGGGAACATGAAATAATAAAAATAATTTTTAAAAAAGGAAAGAGAAGAATAGGTAACAGAATTTCTGCTATTAAAAAGAATGAAGTTGCTCACAGCAGATCAATGCTAAGGAGAACCAGAGAAACTGGTTTTTTAAAAATCCATCTGTTTAAAGGCATTGGATTGATCCATAACTAGTAAGGATTAAAAGAGATATGATTCTTGAGAAAATCATGAAGAACTAATGATCTACAGCTACTTTTTCACTGGGAAATTTTCTAATTCTAGGCATGGCCAAGAAGCTGAGAATCCCTGTTTTGCCTAAATAACAGAGAAACCAGCAAAGCTTCTAGCGTTTCTCAGGAACAGAGACAAAATCGAACACTTGCGGAACCTCATATATGGCTGGTTTGTCCTCAAGACATTTCCTGAATTTTGAAGCTAAAGCCTGGATGGAGAACATTTTCTGTGGTTGACGATACTGAGAAGACGAAGATTAGCATTTAAGACCCACCAGCAGAGGGATCCCAGAGACAAAAATTGAGTTTTTAGTTGCCATCCCTGGAGGGTTATATGGAAAAAGGGTGAACGAGGTAGAAGGAGCCCCACCAAAACCACAATTCAGGCTTGACTCACCTACAACAAAGGATAAATCCACTCTTGAGAAGCATAAATCATCTCGAGGCTCTAAGTTTATTATACATATTGCATCTTTGTTTCTAAAAGCATAACCTTGATACCCCATATTTGATAAGGATATTTTTAAAAAAGATTAATCTCTCTATATGTATAACATAGATGACATAATCTGAAATAATAGCAAAGTGAATCCAAGATAATGAGGTTTATTCAAAGAGTGCAAGGATGATATAACATTCAAAAATTGATATGTCACATTAACAAATTTAATATATCTCAATAGATGCTGTAAAAATATTTGATAAAACTCAGCACCCACTCACAATTAAAAAAAAAACAAAAAAACGGGCAAGGTGTCTCACGCCTGTAATCCCAGCACTTTGAGAGGCCAACGTGGTTGGATCACCTGAGGTCAGGAGTTTGAGACCAGCCTGGCCAACATGGTGAAACCCCGTCTCTACTAAAAATATTAAAAAATTAGCTAGCCAGGTGTGGAGGTGGACACCTACAATCCCAGCTATTCGGAGGCTGAGGCAGGAGAATTGCTTAAACCCAGGAGATGGAGGTTGCAATGAGCTGACACGGTGCCACTGCACTCCAGCCTGGGCAACAGACTGAGACCCCATCTCAAAAAACAACAACAAAAATCAAAACCAAAAACCTCTTAGTGAACCAAAAATATAAGAAAACTGAATATTCTGTGTCTTTCTTCTATCAATTACTTAGATGTTTTAAAATCTTCCACAAAAATTGTTGTGAAATTTGTCCTTTTTTCATTGCTATAAAATCTGCTTTAGGTATTTCAAGACTATATTATTAAGTACATAAAATATCAGAATTTTTATGTCTTCCAGGTGAAATGAACCTTATATTATGAAATATCTTCTTTATCTCTAGTAATACTTCTTGACTTAAAGTTTAGTTTTCTACTAGTGCCAGCTTTTTGCTCCTTTTGCATGGTATACCTATTCCCATTATTTTAATTACATCCTTTCTGTAGTCTAATATTTCAAAATATGTCTCATAGCCTTAACTTTGTTTTGTTTTTAATCTAGTCTGCTGACCTTTCTCTTTTAATTGGAGTGCATTTTTATATGTAATGCGATTACTAATGTATTAGATTTAAGTAGAGTACCTTACCATTTTTTCCTACTTATACAACCTATTGTTTTGTGTGTGTGTGTGTGTGTGTGTGTGTGTGTGTGTGTGTGTGTGTGTTTTGTTTCGTTTTTTAAGACAAAGTTTCGCTCTTGTTGCCCAAGCTGGATTGCAATGCTGTGACCTCAGTTCACTGCAACCTCTGCCTCCCAAGTTCAAGCAATTCTTCTGCCTCAGTGTCCCAAGTTGCTGTGATTACAGGTGTGCAACACCACACCTGGCTATTTTTTTTTTGTATTTTTAGTAGTAATGGGGGTTCATC